GATCCTCGCCTCTAATTCCCGTTTATGACTGTCATATTAGCGAAAGGCGAATGGATATATTTGCATTTTATCAAAACACAGAGAACTCTGCAGAGTCTTACACAAACCATATCGGTTCAAACGTGTTTTATAACACTGGCTGATCTAACAAATCGTTACGTGTCAATTCAGATATAGATAAGTTATATGTGTGGTGGTACCTCGCCTGTCGTATTCCTGATGGTGTTCTCGTGACTTTCGGGTTGTCTGATCTACCAAGGGCGTTTGGACGCTATTGTTTTATGTTAAGATCAAAGAGGGTTATATGCTATATGCATGTTATCCGCTCCGTTATTGTTCCTACTTACCCCCAATAATCCTGGCACAGCCGAGGGTGAGGAGAGTCCACTCTCACTCTCGAAATGCTCTCACATGGCCACACGTATACAGCTACTGACAGGGAAGTCCCACTCACTGCCTTCTCGCGGCAGAGATATTGTTTGAACAAACTGAGAGGACGGAAAGTAAATGTCTGGCGCTTTAACCGGACCAATGGGTACAGAGGATCCACCCAGGGGAGTTAGGAAACCCTGATTCCAAACCAATGGTGCAAATGGGCTCCAGGACCCTGAGGGGGCGAATAGCAAATGAATCTATTGTTGGTCATCGGCTACCATGAGAAGTCATCTCCTAACGTTTCTCCACTACTTTTTGAATTGGATCTATAGGTCAAAGGCTCGGGGAGTGACCTCCTAGGGACACCCCCGACTTTGATTTGGGCACTCGGGTAGTATCCCAGCTCATACACAAATCAATGATAATTAATGCTGGAAAAATTTCTCATGTTTCAACGCTCATTCAGAAAAGTCATATTCACAACCATTTGGTTACAGTCGTTTTTGTTTCCTTTGAACTTCGTCACTTATGTACTCCTTATTCTCACTTTGAGCATTTTATTTTATAACTTATACAGAAGTTCACCCATGGTGCAAACCCTGTCCTATCTAAACGATCACAAGTCATCGACTGGTCGAGAGTCGATTGCTACCACCGATTATGAATATTAAAAGTCTTTCTAGAACCACGTATGCCATTCAAAATGGCTACCTTAAACGTTCGCATACTAAAGCAGATCAGAGAGCAGACAGGGTTGACTGCGTTTAGAAAGCTTCAACAGCGATGTCTGCTGTCTATCCGAGACCTGTATTCAAGACTATAGTAAAGTACTACAAATTCGCCCTCCATCTGCCACTTCGCAAAGCTTGTTTTACTTGCGTTTATCCGGGGACCCTGTGGCATCTTCGTCTGGTTTTGCTGACATTATTGTCGCACCAAGTGCTAGAGCTAAAGCAGCACTGATCTATTGGACTCCCATTAACAGTTGTTTATGTACTGTTAGATTAGGAAGTTCCATAAAAGTGTGAAGAAATCGTCGTGATAAATGATGTGTTTTTGTCGTCTCCGTCTATGCTCTGACAGATCGCTGCCCGGATGCAACCAAGAATCATTTTTACCACCAGTTAACTGTTCTTCTACAGAAAGTGCTTTTGAAAGATATTGTAGTACTGGCCGAAGATACAAATGGTCAGGTCAGGCATCTAGGCACAGAAGAGAGTCGTTTAGATGGTCGATGGGGACTTGTTGGTCGCAGGTTAGATAGTGATAACCGTCTACTGCAACTTTGCATAGAACCAATCTGTTTCTGGTTAGCACAAACTACCAGCACAGTCATCGCCGATGTGCTACCCGGTGCCCTTCCTCTACATCTCAAACTTGAACTCAGATTGATTATATTGCGACTAGCTACCGCTGGCCTGGTTGTGTACAAGGCTACCGCTTTTTTTCGGAGTCCCTATCTAGACTCTGATCTTGCACTTGTTTGCGATAATCTTACCTGACGTTTCAGTGATCAAAAAGTCCATTGTCTTAAACTGATCGATGTCAGTAAATTGGTCGCAGCTCCTGTTGCAACTAAATATAAACCTGAGTTAGGTTCAAGGCCAGCTACCATCCCACCGAAAATTATATATGAGTATTAGTTGTAATTGCATGACGCCATAAAAATGGAGAGTAAAGTAGCTTGCAGCTTCGTGAAACGTCCCACTTTCAAGCACTGGGTGTCTACAAGCTCCTTACATCTCATTGTATCACGTCGGTCTATTGCGGGTGACTGCGAGTTTGACCATAAACGAAGATTGTTACCTAGTAAAATAGTGCAAAGCTTGCGTAAGGACCGAGAAGCCTGGTGGTTGGAGCTTCCTAACGAGTTGGGAACAGCAGCTGAATCTGGTAACTTCTGAAGGCTCTTTCAACTCATCCGAGTCACCGGAAGCGACGAGCCTGGTGTGAGTGAAACAATCTGTGAAGCTAACGGGACGCCAATCAGTGACATATGCCGACACCTTGGACGATGAGCAGAGTTTCTCGAAGGGCATTTCAACTGGTCTGATGCCCCGGAACATTGACTAAACTGTCCTGCCCCACATGGACCATGACGACTGATCCATCTAACGAGGTGAAATCCGCATGGGACTCCAACTCTTGAAGCCCCACGAGTCACCAGGCCCAGATGACTTACCTCCGGTCATTTTCAAAGATGGTGGCGACTTACTGGTTATGGTACTGACTAAGTTATTTACAAAGGTCGGGTAATTAGAGTGTTCCAACATCACGGAATGAGTGGATAGTTGTGTTATCTTTAAAAAGGGTTCACGCCTTTTATGCGACAGCTATCGGCGGATAAGTTTACTTCCGATTGCGTCCAAACTATTGACTTACGCCATACTTCGTAGATTGTTCAAAACCTGGGAAATATTGACTAATGAGGAGCATGCTAGTTTTTGTTTTGGTTGAGGATGTATTGATTATATCTTCACCCTCCACCAAATGTTAGAACACCGTCATACTTATCACAGGTCAGCAATCGTGTTTCTTGACATTAGGAGCGCCTTCGGTTTGTTGGAGTGAACTGTTCTCTGGGATTGTCTATAGAGGAAGGATGTATCTGAGTCTATTAACATCTTGAAATCCTATATACTAACACCTCAGAGTGAACGCACACAACCGCCTCACTCCACTGGTACATTAAATCAATGGGGCTAAGCATGGTTGCCCAATCTCACCATTTTTCTTCGACTTTGCTATCGATGATGTTCCAGAAACAGCTCTGATGGATTTGGGTAATAGCGGTGTGAATCTGCTGTCTGGAGAACGACCTTGAGTATGCGGATGATATTGTCTCACTGTCCAATGATACTCAAGCCATGCAATCAGCATTTTATCAGTTGGCAGCCAGTATCCGTAGGTATGCTACGTGTTTCGCACCTTCTAAGTGCAAAGTACTTTTACAAGACTAACAGGACCTTAATCCCGTACTCACCGTCGGTAGTGAGCAAACAGAAGTAGTCGAGAAGTTTGTGTATCTGGGTGGCTACATAAGTGCTAATGGTGGCGTGAGTGATGAGATCAATTCATGTATATTGAAAGCCAGACTGGCTTATGTCAAGTTGGGCCATCTTTGCTGTCGTCATTATGTTAGTCTAGGTGTAAAAGGTCGGATCTACAAGGCATCGGTGAGAGCAGGTTTGCTCTGTGCTTGTGAGACCTGGCCTCTCCAATTTAAGGGTGTTAGACGAATCTGTTTTTTCACCATTGTTGTCTCTGAACGAATGCTGACATTCAGCGGCAACACTATTTTAGTAATGCAGAGGTTCGGCATCGTGTCTTCGGGCACAGTGACGATAATTCAATTAGTGTCACTATCTTGGAACATCGACTTCGGTGACTTGGACATGTTCTACGAATGTCATCCCAGAGGATTCCACGTCGTGAATAATTTTTCGGCACTGAGACCGGTTGGGGAAAGCAGAGAGGTGGTCGGCGTATGATGCAGTGTCGTGGTATGAAAGAAAGTTGAACAGTACTGCCTTCTGTTGGTCCTTCACCACGTCCTGGTTGAAGTACTAGAGATAGTGCAACACAGTGGCTAGAGACGTTATCAGACATGGTTCAGCATAGAAACTAGTGGGGACCCTGTTGTAACTTTCTTTTACTTTCTTTGTAAAAGTGAACGTAACTTCTTTAAATAGAAGAATTCTTTCTGGTTATATCTTTACTAACAGAACCGTTTCTCTAATTATTATTGTCACTGTTGTTATTATCTTGCTCTCATACACTAATTTTTGTTCGTTGTTGTTCTTCTTTTTATTAAAGGTAATTTATATTCCCTATCCCTTCACAACCTTATTGTTATTGTGCAACACATATATATTTAGTGCCCTTTGTACCAATGCATATGTGTTTAGATAGATAAACATATGTGTGGAGTAACTATTTTTTAATACCTGACATGGATATTTCATTCGTAGACGATTGATAAAATTGTGATATCAATGACGTCCACTAATCTCCACATATTCCCATACTGTTAGTATTTTCTATTGTTGAGAAGTGTTAAGAAAATTACACACCTTGGAGACAAACAGACATACAATAAGATTAAATACAACTGTGGCATCAGTTACTTTGATGTGAGTCATTGATACCGTGTACCTTACTGAAAGAGATATGAAAGGTGTTTAGTTAACAGTTTTCCTTCAGATATATATGTAATGTAAACATAATTTAATAGATACAACCTTTCATAAAAAAGAATAATTTGAATCTAAAGCTTCTGTGAATAGTCCCATGATCGGTACACACTGTTCAGCTATTCAAATATCGAGAATTGTACCAGACATAAGTCTCAGTGTGGACATTAACACAAGGATCCATGTATATGAATTTGATGAGTACTAAATAGGACAAAACTATCGTCTCAGGTTTCATTCTGACCGTTGGTTAAAATATATAATTAAACTTGCAATCGAAAGGTAACACAAAACCATGAGCTCTGTGTGTTTATTAAACTATCAGAGACTGACTAAAACTCATCGCTGAATATCAGCAACAAGAAAACAAAACCACTAATAAATAACTATATAAACGTCTGTCCATAAATTCATGCCAAAAAAATAGCTTACTTTATCAACTAGACATGGCAGATTTAGTGAATTGGTTGAGAAGCCCATACTGAAAACAATAGCTGCTTCTTGTCCAACAAATTCGGCAACCAAATCTTCGAGTTCTTTGTGTAATATTAAGCTTCCGGCCTCTTGTCTAGAACTTGCTACACCTACACCGAATTTTATTGTGGCTTTTTCTGTAGCATTAGTACAAGGTCCGGTGGGATCCCCGAATCCCAAATAATTGTATGATCCTAAGTTCAAAACCTTCGATTTTGTTCCTGTAAAACTGAAATGAACGATAGAAAAACAAATGTAAGCACTAAGTGAAGGGTGAAAGTTCGTTTTACATACGATAACTTAATCGAAAGTGAAAGCAATAAACAATACCAAATTTGTATAGAAATCACCATCATCAGCATCACTATCCAAAAGTATATATACGACAACCTGATAATAAAGCAGTATTGTGTGAATTCACAAATGATTTAGAGGAAACATTTGAATTTATTCCCAAAGATCTGTTATTGTAGTGTATTTACCTAGTTTCCGTAAATAAAATGAAACTAGACAAAGATTATAGTTGGGATCAAAACATACACACCGTAAATCCCAAATATGCCATCTCTTTAACTTAGAAAACCGATTCGGATTATTCAGTGGTAAGTTTTTCCCATGAAATCTTTTTCATTGTGCAAGTAATCGGTCAATATGTTCACGTGCGTTCACATCAAATAATATAAGATCAGCTTAGTAGTCTTTTATGCTTTCCAAACCTATGGCGACCTCATATATAGCAAGAAAAACACGTAAAGTAAACAGTAAGAAATTTTAGTGGATTAAGCCTTCACTTTATTGAATCGAGTAAAATCTTGACTTTTCATCTGAAGTTGTTCGAAAACAAATGTGTTTGTTAAGTCTATCTTCTAAAAGAAAATATTATCAAGAAGTAATTTATATGCCTTAAAATTTCATAATCCATACACCACAGTTGCGTAACTCAGATTTGACGATGATTCTAAATTCATTACAGCTCATTGGGGATCGTATCTTCTTTCTCAAGTACTTTTTCAATACAAGTTTTTCATAGTATTTTCATTCTAGGTCGACCAAACAGACAATCTGTTTGTATAGGATGATGTGGGGCTTGGTCACCACATGATTTATTCTGATCCTCTTTGATTTTCATACTACTCTGAGATGTTCTTAAATGAACTGCAACTAGACTCATCATACTTATGGTCGTCGTTTGAACGATTCATAGGCTATTTTTCGTAATAAAAAGCAACAGGTTCCTTGTCAGAGTTAATTTTTTGCATTAAAACGTCTCAAGTCCCCATAATATGCAGTTACCAACCAGTAAAACTACGAAATTAAGCAGATATGTTCGGGATCTCCAACTTAACGAATACTTTTCTTAATTTTCTGCATGACAAAATGACATTGATTATCAGTATCTAAAACAAAATCGGGACACATATCGCGTTTTTATACCATTTAGACACGTACAAATCATTGTTATCTGTAACATCTAAAGCCATTTATCCAACAGTATGGACTGAAACAATTTCTTAAGGCTCAAATTTACAGAAATACAAGTCAATGTTTTACAGTGATAATATGTATAGTTAATAAGCATCTAGTGGGACGATTTAATCCATATTGTGCTTTTTTAGTCGTTCATACTTTTATTGGTAGTTCTTGCCCACTGTACATCATATTTAATCACTTAATATCCACGTACTTCAGCTTTTTATGAATTATACTAACTTTTTTATTCAATAGTATTGAATGATTTGTTGTATCTAATAACACTATACAATAAAATTACTTTCACAGCTCGGAAGCGCCTTCTAAGTTCTTGTATTTACTTGGAATTTTTAGTGATCATTTCTGCTACCATCCTGTCATTTAGCTGAGTGTGGCAATTAAATTAACTGGTGGTTTCTTTGTACTATATTGGGCACTTACTACAAATTCCAAATATTATATGTCCAGTTGTTCTCATCTAGTTCTTACTTAATTACTCGTGAAGAAGCGTACGCCGCCCACCGGCTTTCTTCATCAAACTTTGTTCTGGGTAATCCTTTCCAGTTGTTTTCAGTTGCTAGTAATTGTTTTGGCGTCTGCTTCCAATATCCAACGCAATATGTTCGTAAGTCTTCCTCTTTTTCCACCTGCCTTATATTGCACTGTTTCGTGCATACTTGGTAAATCATCTCAAATACGTCTTATTATTATAATACATCAATAGATTCTTGGTGACTGATTTCGAATATTTGTGTTTACAGTTGAAGAAAATGTCGCGCATTCATATTTGGTTCAGCTTTTTTCAGTTACTCTATTGACAAACTAGTGATTTCCGATGGAATGAAATTTGAAAAAATTATCAGCAGTGGTCAAAGGAGGGATACAGTGATTCTCCTGGGTGTATATCTTTCTTCTTATAGATAAGAATTGGGTCTTTTTCGAATATCCTTGTATTTGACTGTGGAATCTAGTAGTATACAATGTTCGTTTCGAACACTAAAATTCTATATGAAAAACCAATTATACTGTTTGGAATAACCGACACTAATCAAGTTTCAAACAATATTTGCATACTCATCAGCACAACGAGAAACAGAGTCACAGCAGCGATAACAACAAAAATGGTAAAAAGAATCAAGATTATTCGTTTGCTTTTTAGATATTTATCTGGAATATTGCATAATCTTAATATCATAAACTCGCTTTAAAGGTTTACATCAGTATGTGGTGGGTATAAGACGGTTTTATTCATGGATGATGGGTTTCTTAATTTCTAAGAGGTTGTTTCCGTTGCTCTCGTTCAGCTTAAAATGTAAAAGATATGTGTAATCAGCCCTTATATACCGTAAACAAACGATCATAAAGGTTGAAATAAGGGTAAATGTGTCTTAATTCGCAGCTCAGTAGTTGAAAACTTACTGTTTTAAAGGCTACAGTGTGTCATTAACGCTAAATAAACACATAAAAATCCGTAAATTCTCCCCCAAAAGATTAGATGAAGTTTCCTTGCATCAAAGACAGTGATGAATCATAACTGTGAGAAATAGTGCAAAGTCGTAGATAAATCTGCGATAGGCATCTTAAACTGCTAATAAAATTATTACCACACAAGGCGTACTGAATTTATGTGAAAAAATATTGCAGAACATGAATACTTTATATCACGAGAAGTGCTTGAACATAAGGAGGTTAAAATAACAATTTAATCAGAACGCCGCCAAGTATTTTTAGCTACTAAAAATCAAAGAACATATTTCACCAACTAAATGGAGAAAACAATTAAATCATTACAAGAGATGACCAATGAGTGAGATTTTTTATAAAAACCAAAGAATAAATTAACTTTTGGGATAAATAACTGTTTGATTACATTTCTTTACATAAAAAACATGTTGAAAAACGAAGGCTTTTAAATTTACTAGAACTGCGTGTGTATAGAAATAATAATCATGATAACTTATTTCAACTCACTTCAACGTCCATCCATAGTCCGGTGATTTACGATCCATTACTACGATTTCACTACCTGGAGCAGAACAAACAGGTCTAGACCAACAGTCCTGTGCCCTTCGGTATAGATTACGGGTGTAAAAAGCCTCATAAGACGAGTAAAGAGGGACGAACGATTTAGTATGCGGTACTTCTGCTACTGAATGATTTTCTAATACATGAATAAACCTCAGGAAATCTTGAAGCCTCCCCAAGATGTTTAATATTAGAAAGCTTAGATACGTGAGTACGGCTGTAAACAAAGGAGCTCCCTCGAAAGACTCATAAAATTCCTCTCCCGTTCTAGGGCGTCGGAAATCTTTCATTTCCTCTCCAAGTGTAAAAACGAACTCGACAAACAAAAATCACCCCCGTGTTAACACACGCGCTACTTCTCGTATTAACTGTTGCTTAGCTAAAGCTACACATTTTACGTTAAAACAAACATTTTCGAATCGTAAAAGCATTTGAAAAAGTGAAATTCTTTTCATGTTTTAAACGCTACGACTTTCTGAAAATAAAGAATCTTCTCATTATAAGTGAGCTACTTAAGAATGAAAGTGCAAAATTCGATCTTGATTTTCATTTCAGAGGGGTGTATGGTCTGTGTATTTCCTACAGCCGAACCTTCAATTAATAACAGTTAGCCAAATTATTTCGGTCAGTATTCTTCATTTGACGATAAACTCTCATCATGTTCAAATAACAAGTAGGTTTAATATTCACTTCTGAGAACTAGATACATCGGGCCTGCCTCCGCCAGACCTAGTGAAGCTAACCCAAATGAACTCAGACAACTCGAGGCATATTGTCTCCAGTGCTACCTTTCACATACATAAGTATGAAGTGTACTCCTCTTTCCATCAACCAGATTTTTGGAAAGAGAGGTGATCATACAGATCTCCACCGGTTTATTCGGATTGGTTGATCAGCTTAGACCATTTGTTTGCCGCTCACGTTAGCTAACGAACAGTGTTCAGAAACTCCAAGGTAAGATGTAAAGCTGTCGATCGGTCCTTGCCTTGGACAGTTTTATTGTGGAATTGTATATAGGTCATATTACGTAAGGCATACCTGAGAAATTCACCATTAATTCTTTCCGATAATGGATTGTTCAAACTGTTTGGAATAACATTGTTTTTCATTGCCGATAATTAAACCTACGAGAAATGTTGAATGATAATACTGACAAGCTGGAGCTCCGAAGTGAAATACATGAAGCGATTGGCGAGACTCTAATTTGAGGACGAGCCAATCAGAAGCGTTTGAGCAATTTCAAGGTCACGGAGCCAAGTTCAACACCTGATGCTGACGTACGATCGCTTTACAGCGGATTTTAGAGAAGAGGCTATTAATTAGAGGCTACAAAAGATGGGACTGTTGAGAAGTTCTTGCACGTGCGAATGCGGTTGTCAAATGACTGGAGCTAAGTGTCCAGAACACCGTGGTGAGATTGTGTTTCGTTGTCCTTCATGTTGGAAAAAAAGTCTGCTCGAACGGGGACTTTCTTCGCTCGGTCGCGTCTGTCACTAAGGCAAAGCATGATAATAGTGTCAAACTGGGTTATAAAGATACCAGTAACGCTGGCTGCGGCGTTTGCAGATGTTACTGAATCTTCAGTAGTCCAGTGGTATGAGTACTGTCGTGACATCTGTGCAAGTAAAATGACACGCCTACGCCTATCATTCGGAGGAGTAGGATGTATTGTGGAAATAGATGAAACGGTAGTACGAAAGCGAAAATACAATAGGGGACGTAGTATCAAGGAGGAATGCGTAAGTAGCATTTCCGTAAATATACTTGACAGGTACTTGGAATTTATGACCGATCAACACAAAAAGGACATATTCAGAAAGTCAGAAACCGGCAAGCGAACACAATCGTACCATTTATACAGGAATACGTACAACTGGGCACAACAATATATACGGATGATTGGCGAGGCTATAGGTGCCTACATAGACTTGGATATGTGCATCATGTTGTAGTGCACAAGCGCCATTTCGTCGATCCTACAACCGGCGTACATACTAATAATATTGAAGCTATGTGGTCGAGACTGAAAGAATTTTTAAGACCATACCACGGCTCAAGAGGACGACTGTTATGGAGCCACATGGACGAGTTTTTATACCTCATGGATTATGATTTCAGGACTTCTGAACCGTTATCGAACCTCTACAAGTTTTTGAATCATGTAAAAGAAAACTATCCACTGTAATTCATTACTTTCTTACAATATATTTTCACTCTATACTAACTGTCTTCTGATTGGCTAATAATTGTCAAGGTTATTTAAGATTCGTTCAAAGGTCGTCCCTAAATTAGAGTCTCACCGAAGCGATTTTGTGGTAGAGAAGGTGACAATCGTCAAAATATGGAACATATCGTCATCAACTCCACTTCGGTCGCTAGAACATCATCTTTAAAACACCACTGTTTATAGTTCTGGAACAAAAATATCAAAATATACTCATGAACTATGCCTTCAAAGTAACTGTTTACTGTGATCTAGCAGTTATAAAGAGGTTTCACACATTGATATAAACATGGTCAGTCTTGAAATCCCTCGAAATAGAAATAATTAGGATGTCATATACCACTTAGTTGAGGCCTCAACAATAAAATCGTGTGAAGTATGACACTGACGACTTTATGTTATCATATCGCACTCAAAATCGAAAATACAATGACACAATTGACTGATGCAAAATAATTAAGCAAAGTAGAACAAGGAAGCTCAATATAATAAGACTGACTAGTTTGTTCTCCAGTTTCTCTTTAACTAACTAAAACCAATATATCACAATGGTAGTTACTCACGACCAAAGTACTTGTTTCACATCATATTAACGAAGATTGGTCGAAAAACGGAAGAAAGCATACGAAAATTCAAAGGTAACTAAATTGATTATCATTTAATTTACTAGATGTGAAGATTAAGAAAAGACCAAACACTTTTCAAAGCATAAACTTTGTGTTAAAATTAAGTATAAATAATAAATGAAATGAGTGAAGCTCGAATAGCAAAAAAGAGTTAAAGAAAGGAACTTTACTCAGAATTTAAAACAGGATATTGAAGAAATCACTAGTGAAAGACAGAAATTGTCATGGCAGTGAGAGATTAAAATGCATTTTGCATTTTCTATAGTTTCAACTTTGTTGCAAGGATGAGTCCTGAAAATCATGGTATTTACGAAGCTATTTGAGTATCAGTTACTTCAAACAATTCTGAAATATTAACATCAGGCCTATTATCATGTAGATGGCAGCAATAGCACTATTGAGAGCAACTCGACGTTTTAATTTCAACTTCTATGGAGTGCACTAAGACGTGAAGAAAAGCACACTACTTTCTGTTCTTCCAGTGCAAGCGCTTTAAAATGAAAATTTAAACTGATATATATGAATGAAAGTAACTCCAGGTGAGGATTTGATAACTTTAAAATGTCTCTTGAGACAGCTTCTCTGATAAATTGTAGCTAACTAAGTGTGTAGGGTTATGGTCTAATATGATATTAGTACTGCTCTAATAATAGACCTAATCCTAAACTTGTCGATTTGCCATGATATAACTGCCTAATCTATAAGATCTTACGTGGAAGTCACACCATCGACTACACCAACTCACTGTATCGTATCAATTACCAATACATGATGAGGAAGAAGGTTAGGCTGGAGAAAGAACAATATATTTAATATGAATAGAGACCACGCCTGCATGGCCGAGCCATGCCACTCGATCAACTCCAGTCCATTCAATTCATTGTTCGCGCCTTCTTCATTCTTAGGTATTTCTCGGCGTTAAATATTGAATATTTATTTTCTGAGTAGTCTCGTGTTCACAGCTTTGTGGATTGTGTGGCTATTGTCCAATGCCACTACACTACTCTCCCACCAGAATCAACGTGATGTTGGTTCGATACCAAATTGGATGGGATCGTCGCGCGCCGGAGGTTACCAAGGATAATAAGAATCCTCCGGGTATTGGTAAGCTGAAAGATAAATCAAAAAGAAAGCGGCAGCATCTGGTCGGGAAATACATGTAATAATTTTAAAATATCTGCCTTCATGCTTAAAACGCTTGAAATGAAAATTTGGGTGAAGATTATTTGAACTATAAAAAATGAGATTATAATAATAATAATAAAACGATGCGTGTTAATAACTTGACTTATAGGCAGTAATTATTTTGTGTTTAGAAATATTAAAATAATGAATATTGTAGAAATGTTAATATTGGTATTAGTTTTGGTTTAAATTATGAAATCGGATAACGATTATGCCGGTAAGTTGTCCATATGAGTTGAATTCCAATTGCATCTGTATTAGTAGGCTAACTGAAGGAACAAAAGTATACCGTGGAGAAGAATTCCAACTAGTGTTCCAGTTAGTTTGATACGGTTTATTTAGTTACGGGGAGATTTTCTCAACCTCATTTTTACTTGACCGTGATAGAATTTAGTAATACTACTAATACACATGAATGTTTATCAAAAAAAATTTAAATACGTGAGTGATGAGTATATGAATTTTGGACAGATAGCTAGGAACAAATCGTTAAACATGAGTGTATTCGTAAGAGACATGCTCTAGACTCAATGTTCTGATCTGTGGCAGACTATTTATTTGTATTTATACTTGCCGGCTGATTGGGCATACAAGTTAGTTGCAAGTATGCAGTTTATTATAAGGCGGAATACGATTTAATTGAGATATAGTGGTTATAAGTTATTAAAATCAGTTAAGCCTGGGTCATATTACGAAGTGATGTGGTGCTGCAAGATGTATTTAGCTAAACAACTTTTTACAAGATGATTAATAGTGAGTGATGCTCATGTGATTATCAGGGAGAACATAAGTTGTAACCAGGGGGAGTACACTCCCAACTCATGTCTATGATAATGACTTGAACCTTAGTCAGTGTTGGGGTAAATTCGACATTGATGTTTTCAGTTTGCAGGAGATTTGCTCGACTGCTTATACTGATTATTTGCATGCATGATTGTGTCGTTAAACCATCAATTAGACTGACAAGGTTTTGAGATATTTACTGAATGAGCAACTGATAGAGAAACATACTGTAATCATCTGTGATGGATGAAGATACCAAGAAAACAACACCATTTAATAGTAATTATAAGTCAATTTGTTGACCGATTTCGTTAATAGTTTCATTAATTTTATCAGTCATATTACGTGATTGTCAAGTTATGACAATGCTTTATGACGATATCCTGAAACTATTAAATTTAACTAGTTATAGTGTTGATTAAGGATTAGTCAGTGGAAAAATAGGTATTGTTGCTTTAGGTGATTCAAAATCATCAGAAATTTATAACGTTAAAGAATCCGAGACGCCTAATTTAATTATAAATTTTAATTCAGAAATATTCGTT